TGTGAGTAGTTTTATTCTGAGAGTTTTTTTATTTCTGAGGGTTTCCCAAGATCTGATGAGACAACTGCTCCTGTCCTCCTGCCCTGAAAATCTCTCTGCTCCATGTTGTGGTAGAAGTCCCTCCTGAGATGGGATGGAGGAAAAGGCATGGATACCTGCCCAGCAAGGACTGCTCCTAAGTCCACTGCTGACTGCTGGGGCTGATCCACACCCCCACAACTGGTGGGATGCCCATCAGCAGCCACTGCCTCAGCTCCTGCTCTGAGGCAGGAGAAGCCAAGGAGTGAAGGGGAAAAAGAGGATTGTGCCAGCTCAGTTCCCAACAAGAGCATTAATGTTACCTTTAAAATTAGGAAATTAATTCACAGAGCTCTGCTAAGCAGCCACATATTAACGCGGCCACATATTTAATATTTTCCTTGCAAGGAAATGGGAGGCAAGGCATTTACATCCTGATGCCTCAAGTTTCCTGGCACTTTGCCTTATCCCTGTCTAAATGCCAGCCCTGAACACAATGCCAAGCCCAACCTTGAACTGACCCTGGGGTGACAGCAAGACTTGGAATTTTCCCTTTTAAAAATACTGTTTCTCTAAATTGATCATTACTAGAAGATCTTTAAGGCCCCTTCCAACTCAAACCATATCCAAAATGAGCATTAGGAGCTGGAACAGGATGGCCAGAGCAGACTGGGGTGATACTTCAGGTGAATTATACAAAGGCAGTGTTGTACTTCTACTATTTTCTCCACTAATCTCCACAGGTAAGATCACTCCACTTTCAAAATCTGCAGAAGATGGGCTGTTGGGAAAAGAAATGATTGCAAACAGAGCAGTCTCCATTTTAAACTCCTTGTTTTCCCTCATTATTTCAGGAAAAGTTACTGAAAACCCTGACAGGTATCCAACTCCTCATTACTGTGGTTGGTGGCAAAAGGTTCCACTTCTGGCCAAAGAGAGGGATGGAGACATGAGGAACCTCACCAGCTGATCACCAGGCTCTGGGAGGGAACTCTGCCCTCTGGTTTTGATGTTTTTCTCCCCTAGGACCCACTGGTGAGGACAATATCAGACAACTCCTACTGCAGGTGGATACAGTTTTCGTGGCATGGTTTTTAAGGACAAAAATCACACCTGGTTTTCTAAATTGCCTCATTTCTAAGCATTTTTCTTCTCCATTAGTTTGCTGATGAAGACTGAACTAGAAATCACAGAATCCCAGGCTGGTTTGGGTTGGAAGGGACCTCAAAGCCCATCCAGTGCCACTCCCTGCCATGGGCAGGGACACCTTCCACCAGCCCAGGTGGCTCCAAGCCCCGTCCAACCTGGCCTGGGACACTTCCAGGGATCCAGGGGCAGCCACAGCTTCTCTGGGCAACCTGTGCCAGGGCCTCCCCACCCTCACAGCCAAGAATTCCTTCCCAATACCTAATCTAAGTCTCTCTTTTTTAGTCATGGATGACTTCAAACTGCCCCCTGAGACTACAACACAATGGTGCTCTTTTCCAGCATGGCAGGACTGAGTGGAGCTCCTGTTTGGTCATCTGCAGTTACTTATTTCTAAAATTAATGATTTGTTCATCTCTGACATTAAGAGACAAATGCAACCTTTGCCCCCAAGAACTCACTGCACGAAAACCAGGCAGAAAAGTACAACCCTGAATAATCCAGAGGAGGAGAAGCAACTGTTCACCTTTCATTTCTGTCATCACAGACACACAACTTCTGAATTTTGGGATAAGTGACATTTTCAGAGGGAAGGGAGTGGGTGAGAGGACGCCGAGCTTCCCACCAGCATTCTGGAGCCTGAGCCAAGCATTACCTAAGACTGTTTGTATATTATTAATCTGCTTTCGTAACGATCTGCATTTCCCCAGCACGACAACCTCGGCCCAACCTGAGAACATCCCGCTCTGCTCAGCGCTCGCAGAGCTGGAACATCTGCACACAGCTTCATCCAGCTCCTCACAGATGGTTCATCTGCCTCCAAAAATATTCCTGACAATTGTGGTTGTCCATCACTGTCAACACTTCCTTCCCTACTTCAATTCTGACTCCAAGTCTTAATGCAACTATAAAACACACATGTCCAAGAAATGCTTTTCCAACCAGACTGACCAATGGGTCCTTCACTTCTTTGGGCTCTTTTTCCTTCAGCCAGCTGAACAGAAGCTGTTTAAGGAGGCCATCAACAATTCTTTCTTTGTTCCACAGCTACTGACACAGCAATGTGCTGCTCTTCTCTCCCTTCCTCCTGTATCAAAGGACATTCCACTCCTTTTTTCCCCTTCTTTTCTTTGTTATTTTGGAAAGCCTTTAGCTTATGTACGTAAAAGTCTTCCTAAACTGTCCCTTGCTGGAAAGTGTGGCATCAGACACTCAGCTTAAGCAGCCAAATTATTTTAACTGTTTTTACTGTTGTCTACCAGCCATTCAGTGGTTTTGCTCTGGTGAGGGTTCAGCATCTTCAAAGCCTCAGAATTGTCCTGGTCTCTGAAAGGCGAGTCAGACACGTGCGATGGGCTTTCTGAACGAGGTGATTGCAGGCAGAACAAAGGGCTCCACGCTGTTATTTTAATGGATTTTCAATTCTGTTGCCAGGTCAGTAATCCTATTTCCCCCCAGTGTCACTCAGAGGCTTCAAGCCCCACAGCTGGGGAGGAACAGGGAGTGTTTGTTTTATCCAGGAGGACATCACACGGCACGGCTCCTTCCAAGCAAATCAATTTATCCACTGCTGACAGCAAGGATTCCTCGGTGGTGATGCCAAGTTGTGCTACTCAGGAGGTTACTATGAGTGCACTGTGCACACAACTCCCAGCTATCAACCTGACAAACATCCTTAACCATTTTATTTGCCTTTATTTTTCTTCTTGAGGCTTGGTAATCCATCAAACTCACGGTCTGGAGCGTGCCGCACGGCCCTGCTGGAAAAGGCTCTGACGCAACAAAACCAAATTATTGTCAAAAAAACGGAATAAAAAATTGACCAAATAAAAAAAATAAATTCTTGTCCTTTCAGAATTATTTCCCTCTGTGACAGGAAATGAAGCTTTGACTGAGGGTTTAACCACGTGCTTTATTTCAGTGCATGTCTTCAGCCAGCACGTGCTGCAAGAAGTCACCTGCTCTTCCCAAATAATCAACCCCTGTCACCTGTTCCGTGTTCCTTCCAGCACTAGGCATCCAAGGACCATTATCTGCAGGGATCACTTTGCCTTTAACAGCCAGGGAGAGGGAGGCAGGCAGAGGAGATGCTGGTCTCCAAGGATCCCAGCAAGGCTAACAGCAACGCTGGGAATCGGCCCAAGGTCTCCGAATGCTGAATCAAGCGCCGCCGCTCTGACTCATCCCAGGAATTGTTTGCTGAACACGATGGAATTTTCGGAAGTTCCATGTGCTGCATCAGCAATTTGAGCAGAAGAAGGGATTCCAAGAGCTCTAAGGTCAACTCATCAGCCTTGGCACCGATCCCTTCATCAAGGCCTCATGTCTGGGAGCCGGTGACAGTTATTTCTGGAATCTACACTTACAGTAGAGGAGATTTCCTGGGAGATGAACAATCTTACTCCCAGGGTGTCATCCTGCTGCAAGCACGAGGGGCAGGACATCTCCCACCCTCAGCTGTTGTGTTCTGTCACCAACACACAGGATTTATTCTGAAAAGAAATTCTGGCCAAGGGATGAGCAGGGCTTTAAAACCCTTTCCTGAAGGAGTCTGCAGCCAAGGTATAACAGCCTATTTCTGGTTCAATGTTGGCTGTAAGGATTGTTTCTTGCTCTTTTCTCCAGTGATGAGAGATGCCAAAAAGCTTCAGTGAGTGATCTATGCCATGGATGTGACAGAATGTTTGAAAGAGCCATCTCCCTTACCTTTTCCAGGAGGAAACTGAAGCTAAAACTGCATCCATTTCTCAGTTACGTACCCAGCAGGATGACTTAAGCACTCAGGGGAAGAAAGCTGAGATAGATGAGGTATTTTAAGCAGAGACAGCACATTTTACTGCCCTTTCTGGGAGTCTGCAATGCTTCAGATTTGCAAGGAATACGATGACTAATGTGTTCTGAACAAAACCAGACCTGGGCATCACATTCCTTTCAAGAACTCCACGTGGAAGAGGAGAGGATTGAGCCTTAATATTTATTTACACAGCCACCACACTCTCCCTGCCTGACCATCTGGGTCAGCACGAAAGCAGACAGGACAAGACAGTATCTGGCACAAAAAGCCAAGCAAAACACGTCCTGGTAATAATTTAGAACAAAGACTTTGCTTGTTATTTTCCTCTCCAAAGCAGGAGCAGGCACAGGAAAGCATTAACTGCTCCCATCCCCCCTAGAGGGGTAGGAGGAGAGAGAGCAAACTCCTCGGATTTCAAAGGAATAGAATGGCACCTTCCCACCACCACAGAATTAGGGTTAAACCTCAGTAATACAATAAAATTCAAGCTGTAAATCTCACGTACACAAGTGACAGTGTTCCATATGTTCCACACAATCCACTCCTGCCAGAGCAGTCAGTGAGTTGTGTATTGCTCCAAGGGCTCTGAGCTGCTTGGGAGGATTTCCCAAAAAATACCCAAGTGCACACACAGCAGCAACACTCAGCCTGGGCCTCCCCCCACCAAACCCTTTCCAACAAAACACCGCTCAAACTCTGGGCAATTTTGTTCTCACTGCTGAAGAAAAACCACAATTATTCCGGTAATAACCGTGTCAGATCCTAACATCTGTAAAGGAGATAGCAGGATGGCTGGGAAAGACAAACCCTCAGAGTAGCAGGGGAGTGTGTATTTGATGTAGTTTGAATTTGAATTTCACTTCAGAGAAACAACTTTCCTGGGCAATAAAACTCCTCCCAGAGGTTCTCTGTGGAGGCTCCCCGGGAGACGTTTGAGCGCGTGCGTTTTCCAGCGCGCCGAGTGACAGGAGTCAGAGGACTTCCACTCCAACTGACCTTTTCCCAAGGCCCCAAAGAGCCCAGAGAGGGATGTTTTCCATACCTGTGAGGCCAATCTCCTCATGGCCTCCTCCTGGCGCCGGCGCATCTCGGGGGTGCCCGGGCAGCTCCCGCTGGTGATGGACGGGTGAGCAGAAGGTGGTTGGGTCAGGGGCAGCTCCCGGTTGGCATCCACATCTGCCCAAGGAAAAAAAGAGGTTAGGAAATGCCACAGGACAAGCACTGACAGCTTTATTACAGACCAGCATGGCAGTTAAAATAACTCCCACAATCACTCTGGTTAGGATTTCAGGGATTTCCAGGCCGGAGGCTCCTCAAGAGCTTTTTGGAGCAGCACTTTTGGGAAGGACCTTTAAGACACAGCTTTGAGGCTGTCTGAGTTCAAGGAGTGTTTGGACAATGCCCTCAGGCCCATGGTGGGATTTTTGGGGTGTCCTGTGCAGGGCCAGGAGTTGGACTGGATGATCCTGACGGGTCCCAACTCAGCATATTCTATGATTATTCATCTTCTTCACTGGCTTTAAAATAATGACAATAATGGAGTGAACTGGGCACTCTGGAAGGCTCTGCCTTCAGGTTTGGTGGATCTGAGTGCAGAGCTCTCCTGCTCTGCACTTCTGCCAACAGACCTTCCCTCGTTATGAGCAATTGCTGGTTAATTTGGTTCCAAGTCCTCCTTCAGCACAGACAGCCAATTTTTCTGAATTATGGGCCTATTTTCTAACATAAATAAACGGAGAGTCCCAGCTAACACAGCCATCTGAAGCCCATTAATGTAATCAGGGGGAGAGGAGCAGGAGCAGCACCAGGATCTGGAAAAGGCTTGCAAGCAAATAATAAATTATCCTGGAATCATCTCTGGCAAGTTTAACTGTGTTCTATTGCGTTTTAGCTGCTTCTTTTGCCTGGCAAGCAGAAACTGGCTTTACCAGCAGATTGCTACCACAGCCCATCCACCTGGCCTTTGTGGATAACATTCCCAAACCACACTGATTTTCACTCTTAGGAACCCACACAGAGAATTTCTGAATGACACCAAGACATGCAGCACTTGCTGATGTCTAATTACTGGTTATTTTAGGAATGCTTTAAGAACAACATCACTCTGAAGTGCAGCCTGTGCTGGCACAGGGTTCTCCTGCCTGGATTGCTGCAGTGCATCCCTGAGCTTGACTGGAAATCATCATGCAAACAATGACCCATTTAATGGCAAACAACAGAGGAGGAGGAGGATGCCTCCATAATTAAACCCTGGGCATTAGAATGAGGCACATCCTTGATTCTGAGCCTGTAACACCACTGTCACCTGTATTAATTTTCTGAGACAGGAATTAGAAGGATGAGGCTGCACTGAAGCCACTTTACTAATGCTGATTGCACAACTGCTGTAGCAGAGTCAGACCACCTGATTAGCACTTATTATTAAACACAGATTTCACTAAGCATAATAGATTTTTTTTCAGCATGTGGAAAAAGAAACAACAGAGAAACTTATCATAGAATCAGAGATGAATCATAGAATATCCTCAGTTGGAAGGGACCCACAAAGATCTCACAGAATAATTATCATCTTCTACAGCTAAACTAGGACTTGTGATCTCTTTAGGAAATAAAGTCAAATTAAATACTGATTCTGAAGGTTTCCATCCCAATAACTAACACTGAGGAATCATTCAGCTTTCAACTTCATGGATACACCAGACAGTGAGCTGAACAACGTGTTAGGACCTTCATCCTTCGTGCATGAAGGGTGCAGGGCACCTTCTCATGGGAGAAACCCAGCTTTTAGTCCAGAAAGAGTTAAGCACAGTGGTCTCTTTAATCTCCACAATCCCCCTCAGCAGACTGGGGACACACACACACAGTTGGTGCACTGCAGAGCTGCAGTTAAAATATAGAAACGAGCCCTGCCTTTCACTCCACATTGTTCATTTAGCTCTGACAAGTGACACTATTGAACATGCCAACCCCCGGTGACATTTCAGCTCTTCTGACAGGGCAAGAGCCCTGCACTCCAGTAAACAGATTTAACTGCAGCTTCTCTGAGGTACAGTGACCTACATCCTCAAAGATACCTCCAGGTACCTCACCCAGTATTTTTAGTCCTGTCTTACTCGCTTACTGAGAGCTGAGTGATTTTAAAATGTTGTCATCCCCACCTGCAAACCTGCCAGCACGGAGTGATGGGAATTGGATGGGACCACAGGAGGGAGAGCAAACCTGCTGCTGAGCCTACGTGGGCTCGTGACCCACCCTGAACATTTATACCACGATACACTGAGATAATCCATGCTGGAAGGAGAATGCACTGCCATGGATCTGTAATCAGAGAACACTGGCTGCCTCATCTCGCTGGAGATGCCATGAGCAAGGGGACTGGACTGGATGACCTTTAAAGGTCTCTTCCACCCAAGCCAGTCTGTGCTTCTGTAATTCTAAAACTGGACTCTTCCCAATCACAGAAAGTCTGTGATGTTTCTAAGCCAGAGAAATCACAGACAGACTATTATGATTCCTCAAAAAGCACCTTTGGAACAGGAGCAGGATAAAAGCCCCATTTAGCAGAACCTAAAGGGGTCACAAGAGACCTGGAGAGGAACCTTTCACAAGGACATGGAGGGGCAGGACATGGGAGAATGGCCTCGAGCTGGAGGAGGGTAGATTTGGATACTGGGAAGAATTTATTCCCTGTGAGGGTGGTGAGGGGCTGGTGTCGGGGTTGACAGCAAGCCTGTCAGCAGCCTGGCATTTATCAACAAAGCAGTAGACATAAACCAGATTACAGTGTACCCCTGAAAGGAGAGAACACAGCATGCAGAGGAATGTGGGCAACTTTCAGACAGGAATAAGATGGAAGACAGAAATGAACTTCCTGTACTTTTTTTACAAGTCAGGATGACTCCACAAAAACTGTGTTTGTTATTTTGCAGCCAATCCTGGTGTGTGTATACATGAAAGTGCCAATGGCAGGTTGACATGTGAATGGCCTGATGGCCTGATGTATGTGTACCAATAATAGGGTGACATGTGTATAGCCTGATATATGTTTATATGAAGGCACTAACAGAAAGTTAACATGTGTGATGTATGAAAAGTATAAATGTTTGCAACCTGTTGCAATAAATTGATTACAGCCTTCTTGCAATCCTGTCCCTGCTTTGAAAGAAAATTCTATGTCGCTTTGGCCATCTCAACTTAACAGTGACAGGCTGGAATGGAATTCCCAGAGAAGCTGTGGCTGCCCCTGGATCCCTGGAAGTGTCCAAGGCCAGGTTGGACGGGGCTTGAAGCAACCTGGGCTGGTGGAAGGTGTCCCTGCCTGTGGCCAGAGGTCGAAACTGGATGATGCCTAAAGGTCCCTTCTAACCCAAACCACTCCATGACATACTGCTGACAGGTCCTTCCTCTGCTTGGCAACAAACTGATTTCTGGGGCCTGAAGAGAAAAACGGGATTATTGCAGCCAAAACCATCCTAAAGGTCCCAGAATTGTGCTTCCCCCCCCAACCCCCCCGTGCCCTGCACTCACGCTTCGGGGAGGCGTGGGGGCTGTCCGAGGCGATCTGCCTCATGCGGGTGCCGTGGCAGCTGAGCGCCACCAGCCTGGAGATGATGGCGGTTTTGCCGAAGCCGATGTTGCCGACGATGACCACGCCCCGGTTGACGCTGGCGTTGGAGCTCTGGAGCTGCGCGTCGATCTCGTGGAACACCCAGTCGCGGCCCACGAACACGGACTCGGTGGTGATGCTGGGCACCTCGAAGAGCAGCGGCTTCAGGGAGATGTCGGGGGGTCTGTAGGGCGCGAACCGCACTGCGGGGGGAGAGACACGGAGAGGGGACGTCACCGTCCACGCCGGCGGGGAAAGGAGGGTTTGGAGATGATGTTTTATCTTTTCATCTCAAAAGGTGAAAAGGACACTCGTTTCCTTATGTTTGTTGGTAAAGCATCTGCTGTATTCACAGAATCACAGGATATGCTGAGTTGGGAGGGACCCACAAGGATCATCCAGTCCAACTCCTGGCCCTGCACAGGACACCCCAACAATCCCACCCTGTCCCTCAGAACGTTGTCCAAACCCTCCTGGAGCTCTGGCAGCCTTGGGACCGTGCCCACTGCCCTGGGGAGCCTGGTCAGTGCCAACCACCCTCTGGGGGAAGAACCTTTCCCTGAGATCCAACCTGACCCTGCCCTGACACAGCTCCAGCCCTTCCCTGGCTGCTGTCCCTGGTCCCCCCAGAGCAGAGCTCAGTCCCTGCCCCTCCTCTGCCCCTCCCCAGGAAGTTGGAACTGCAACGAGGTCTCCCCTCAGACTCCTCTTATTGTCCTGGTTTCAGCTGGGAAGAGTTAATTCCTTCTCAGCAGCTGTCCCAGTGCTGTGCTTTGATTTTGGTTTTTTCTAAATCGTGTTTATCCCAAGTGAAGGACTTTGGTTTTCTCTTGTCTCATGCTCTGCCAGGGAGGAGATGCACAAAGGAAACTGGGAGGCAGCAGAGCTGGGACAGGTGACTCAAACTGGCCAAAGGGATATTCCACATCATGGAATATCCTGCCCAGTATATCAGCTGGGGGGAATTGCTGGGAAGAGGCTGATCTGGGTTCGGGAAGGGGGTTCTGGCATCAATCAGCAGGTGCACTGTGAATCTGTTGGTTTTCCCCTCTTTATTATCATTATTATGATTTACCAATATTATTATTGTATTTTACTTTATTTTCAATTATTAAACTGTTCTTATCTCAACCTACAAGTTTTACTTTGATCCTCCTCCCCATTTCACCGAGGTGTGGGGGGAAGAGGTGGGGGACTGAGCAAGAGGCTCTGTGGTGCTTCATCTCCAGCTGGACTCATTCACACCATTTTCCACCAAAGGAGTTCAGAGAATTTTACAGGATGAAGTGGCTCAGAGCTGGGGAAAAAGTGTGGCTGGAGAAATTAATTTTCTTGTTTAAACCCACCATAATTAAAGGCTGCAGGCAGAACACTGGGCTCTGCACGGCATCCCCTGGGAGACAGGATTGTCTGTTCAATCCAGACACACAACGTCTGCTCACCTGCTCAGAGCACGGAACAATCTCAGCACCTACAAGTGCTAAATCAATCTGAGCAAAGTTATTTTGACTCTCCTGAAGTAAATAAGTGAAACCAGATTGCTGACAGGATGTTCCCGTTTGGCAATTAAAACGTTGTCTTGTTTCACAAGGAAACACGATGTTGCAAAGCAACCTAAGGTTAAGAGGGAGAGTAAGAAATACCTTCCCTCACAGACCACGTGTGCTGGGGCACTGCCAGCACCTAAAAACGTGGATATTGATTGTGTTCCTTTTCCCATTTTTTTAATGCATTAGATTACAATAAAATACACAGAAAAATCCAAACCAGCCATGAAACTTTTTTGGGAGCATCTGAGGGTGAAGGGAGAAGGTATTTGCCATTTTTTCCACTTGGCACGAGCTATCCAGGGAATGCATAACCTAAAGAGCAATGACTGCACAGACATGGTGCAAAGATGCTCTTAGGTGGGAACTGGAAGAAGAGACCAGTTCTCCCAGGTGTCTTCTCCCAGGTAACAAGGGACAGGACAAGAGGAAATGGCCTCAGGTTGTGCCAGGGAAGGTTTAGATAGGGTATTAGAGGAGATTTCTTTTTCAGATACAGAATCAGAGAATCAGTTAGGTTGGAAAAATACCTCCAAGACCACTTATCTACCTATATCCAACCTCCTGGTTCTTCCAACACCACCAGAGCAAAGCAAAGCCCTTCTCCTGCTGCTCTGGGGGGACATTTCACCACTTCAGACTTTGCAATCCCAGGGCTCTCGGAGGGCAGAGGGTTGAGAAAACACTCAAAATGAGCCTCACTGGTTTGGAGACAAGTGCTGAGAACATGCTTTTTGTCCCATCAGCCACCAAACCCCCTCCCACGTGCCAGCAGGAGACATTTATTTCACCACGCCGTGTTTGGAAGACAAACGTTCTCCTCGCTGGACTGCCAGAAACGTTCGGGAATAATTTAAGACTGCACTGACTAATTGCAGTCCATGTGCCAGATCCTCATTAATTCCTAGTCCTGTCTGCTGAACCACTCCAAATCCTTCTTGCCACTCTTTTAATTTACAACCCTCAGTGCCAGTGGTCCCCAGGAAAAGCACAACCACCGAGGAAGACTCCGGAGCTCCAGGGGAAATTTTGTGTGCAAAGAGTTGAAAAAAATAACCCCAGATCACAAGGAAGGGAGGCTGCACCAGAGCTTCAGCATTTATTAATTAATTAATTAAAGGATAGGCTAAGAGAAATGCTCTGAACAGCAGGAAAGGAAGGTTCAGAGTATGGGGTGAGGATGTGCAGACACATTTTGGATGAACACCGTCAGCTGCTGACTTCAGTGCTTGTGAAAATCAAAGGATGTGAATAAGCTCCATTCCCATCCTTGAAAATTTGTCAAACACTTGCTGGGATTCATATTCCTTGAAATGAAGCATTTTATAGAACCGAAGCCAGAGTACCACAGAAAGAGCCCAAATTTCTGATAATACCTTAACATAAATCAAATCCACACTTTCCCTGGGAATGAGGGTGTGGAGTGGGACAGAACAGGGTCTGGGAGAGGAAAATTTTCATGAGACTTGATGAAATAACTGTGCAAGTTCTGTAGGGCCCAAACTAAACTCAAATCCCAAAGCTGGGGCACTGCCTCCCATACCCACCCTGGTTCTGAAAATTTCACTTCAATCAACCCAAATCCAGGTGTATTTTATGTGCACAACTGGAAAAAGCCACTGAGATGGAAAAGAGCAGGAGCACAATCAGAGAAAGGCCTGTCCTGCTTTACACCCTATGCCACACAAAGTGAATTTTTAGTTATTTTAGTTGTTGAAAGGCTCTAAAATGCCTGTTCAGAAATCATGTTTTACACACTCCCCCCTCTCCAAACAGGGATTTTTTTCTCAGCTATGCTGGCAATCAGCACCCACAGCTCATTAGCTGTTTTCTGTTTTTTTTCTAGATGAGTTTTATGGCTGTTTTAGAATTTTTTTCTGATGGAGGACACATTTTGCTGCCCAAAACCAGCCATTACAGGGCCCCACAGCCTGATAATGCCAACATACCGACAGGAAGCCCAGGTGAGAAGTGCTTTGTATTTATTACAATGAACTGTGGTTCTGAATAACCATCACCATCCACTGTGTCCTTCATTAATTAAGAACCCACAAATCAGCCAAATGTCTGAGTTTCTTCCCTTTATTGCTTTAGACTGCAGCTCCTGGGTATTAGGTTGGATATCAGGGAAAATTCCTTCATGGAAAGGGCTGTCCAGCCCTGGCACAGCTGCCCAGGGCAGGGGTGGAGTCCCCATTCCCAGAGGGATTTAAAAGCCCTGTGGATGTGGCACTTGGGGACGTGGGTTGGTGGTGGCCTTGGCAGGGCTGGTTGGACCCAATGATCTTAGAGGGATTTTTCCAGCCTTAATGATTCCTGATTCTTTCAACTGTCATCTTAAACAGCCACTGGGATGAAACCAGTTCCTATTTCTCACAGTCCATGTGCCTAGAAAGACTAAACTATTTTTTTTGTGATTTTAAGAAGCACACGAAACTCTCCTGCCCAAGAGGTGACGGTATTGAACACATACCATGAGGAAAACCCTTTGAAAATTATAAAAGACAATTTAAGGAAAACATGCCACTGTTTCATGTTTTATCTATATATTATCTACCTAGTTATCTATATATTACATATATCTCTCCCTATATATATATCTATCTATATATTACACATCTATATATTTATATATATCTATATATTACATATAATAGTACATTGGGGGAGTGTAAACCATCCACTCCTCCACCCCAGACATATTGGTTCTTCCCTGCATCAGCTTTTTGGAGCAAAAAAAACCCCTGATGGCACAGCTGGGGTGTTCTAATGCCCCTCATTTTGTTGCCATCTGGCTCCCTCTCCACATCACAGCCAGTGGGTTTTTGGGATACAGCAACTCCAAGCAGCCTCAAATCCCAGGGGATGAAAGCAGGGAAAGCAAAAATTGCCTTCCCCATCCTATTAAAAACCTGTCACTGGGACGAATCCTTGTCGTGCTCTTTGTGTTGGGATTGCTCAACTACTCCCCTGGTTAAAAGCACTGATTTAACAAAAAATAAGCAAAAAATAGAATCTGCCATTTAGTCTCTCTCTGGGATTTTGGAACAGTGGGAATAACCAGTGGGTTGTAACATGTCCCTCGACACTGGGCCAGGAATGGCTTTGCTATTTCAGCCCAGTGCCAAGACTAGAGACATTAAAATTAAACCCAAGTTTAGGATTTCCAGCTGGAACAAAGAGCTGCTGTTTATACCAGCCCAGACTGATGTAATTTCACAGCAATATCTGCAACACGAAGCATTTTGGGGGGAGGAAGGGGAAGCCCCCCCTCACATATTAATTTAAATGAAAATATTTCCAAATAGTGATGGGTTTGGGGTTTTTTCACATCCTCTTCTTCTCCCTCTCTTTTTCAAAACAGCAAAGTGCCTCAACCAAGATCAGAAACGAATTCCAAAAAAAACCCAAAATGCTGCTGTGCTTCTCAGGCAACTGTCACAAAAAAGGGAGGGGGGGGGGAAAAAGAACAAAAAGCAGAAAGAAAATATGTAGTGCTACACAGGTTTTAAAAAAGTGTGTCTGGAAAACAATTTGATTCTGTTCCTACAATAAAGTTGAATGTTTTGGATGCAATCACTGCAAATTACGCAGCCTTGGCAAGCTGCTGCCTCCCAACATATGGAAATTTGGTCTGTCAAAGTTTTGTTTTCTTCACTCACTGCCTGCTAATGCATTTCTAGAAGTGCCTCCCCAGCCAGGGGATTTCATTACAAACTGCCATCCACAGCTCCCAAACCCAATTTTTGGGGGGTTCATTCCTTGGCACAAAGCCCGGTCAGGCTGGACCAGGTCGGGCGTGTGGGGCTGGGTGAAAACCCAACCTGTGCCCTCCAGCTCCCCAGTTCCTCACCCCAGGATGGTGGCACTTGCTCAAAAACACCCAAGAGAACAGAAAGTTTCATGTATGGCCAAAAGAAACCCATTTTCTTTGCACAGGGGAGAATGAACCAGGCACAGAAACAACCTGAAAATATCCCAAATGAGCTTTCCCAGCCACTTATTCATCTGTGCAAGGACAAATGAGGGGGTGAAGCATCAACCCAATGCTCTGCTGCAGACTCAGGGCTGTCCCAGTGACAGCTTGAGCACGTGGCCAAAGACTGAGCTCAGATTAAAGGGGGGATGGAAGTTGTAGGGTGGGCTGAAAAATCCCAAGGACATGGAGCAAATGGAGCTGGAGCTGCCTGGGAATAAACAAAACACTAAAATGTCAGTCCTGGCTCCTCTTCTCATTGCTAACATCTTGTTTGTGGAATTTGCCAGGAAGAACCACAAAAATCTCCCCTCTCAAAAGGCCTTTCAGAAGGCAAAGGGCTGCCTGAATGTGGGCATTGTGAGCCATCTCTACAAGGGACACACCAGGACAGTGACCCTGTCACTGTGCTGGGCTCCTTCCCCATTGGCACCCTGCAAAATGCAAGGGGGGGTTGAAAACCTTGGCTTTGGATTGAAAAAAAAAGAAGTAAAAACATTACAATTTCTAATTTTTTATAAATTATCAAAATATTAACCCCATGGGGATCAGAGATTGGCTGGGAGAGCTGGAGGTGTCCAGCCTGGAGAAGGGAAGGCTCTGAGAAGACCTTTGAGCCCCTTCCAGTGCCTAAAGGGGCTCCAAGAGAACTGGGAAGGGACTTTGGACAAGGGATGGAGGGACAGGACAAGGGGGAGTGGCTTCAAAATGAGAGTAGGTTTAGGTTGGATACTGGGAAGGAATTCTTCCATGCTGGAAGGAGAATGCACTGGCATCTTGCTGGAGATGGCACGAGCAGGGGGACTGGACTGGATGACCTTTAAAGGTCCCTTCCAACCCAACCCAGTCTGTGCTTCTGTAATTCTAAAACTGGACTCTTCCCAATCACAGAAAGTCTGTGATGTTTCTAAGCCAGAGAAATCAGAGACAGACTATTATGATTCCTCAAAAATCACCTTTGGAACAGGAGCAGGATAAAAGCCCCCTGAGCAGAACCTAAAGGGGCCACAGGAGACCTGGAGAGGGACCTTTCACAAGGACATGGAGGGGCAGGACATGGGGGAATGGCCTTGAGCTGGAGGAGCGCAGACTGGGATATTGGGAAGAATTTATTCCCTGTGAGGGTGGTGAGGGGCTGGAATGGAATTCCCAGAGAAGCTGTGGCTGCCCTGAATTCCTGGAAGTGTCCAAGGCCAGGTTGGATGGGGCTTGGAGCAACCTGGGCTCGTGGAAGGTGTCCCTGCCCATGGCAGGGGGTGGAACTGGATGAGCTTTGAGGTCTCTTCCAACCCAAACCGTTCTGGGATTCTGACTTTCACATGGATGTAGACACAGCAGGTGCAACCCAAGCACCCACCCCACACCCCCCCAGGAGTGGGAATTCCCCAGGCTGAGTTCCCACCTCTCAGGTCCTGCTGTGCCCGGGCGCCGGCCACGCTCTGCCGCGGCATCCGCAGCGAGGTGCGCAGGGGGGTGTGTCTCTGCTCGTCCAGGTACGCCAGGTCCTCCAGGTGGGCCGAGCTGGTGGCTGCCAGGAGAGAGCAAAGAACCACATCACACCCCTGACCTTTGCATTTCAGCCCCTGGTTACTGGATTTTTATTTTTATACACAGTTAAAACCACCCTGAGCCAACAGAGCTGAGATGAACCAAGTCCAACTGCCCTTAGCCAGGAGTAAAGAAGTGTTCTGGTGACTTCTTCTCATGCCCCATTGCTGCCTGCTCTGGTTTGGTCTCCTGTTGATGTTCCACATGGAAAACGGAGACATGGAGTCTCTCATATCTGATTTCACCCCTCCCAATCACAAACTCAGCCATGTCTATGCAGAGCTGGCACAGACACTCAACATTTCCTGCTACGTAAAAGACAACTCACCAGTGCAGTTCATGCTGGAGCCCACAATCTCCTCCTCAATTATTTTAGAGCTACTTAATTCGGATATTAACATTTATCTGTCCCTAAAGCCAGAATTAGTGGCAGGAAAAATTAAACTTTTAACAGCCCAGCAAAAAAAAAAAAAAAAAAAAAAAAAAGAGAAAAATATTATCTGAACAAAAGAAGATAACTTTACTATTTCAACGTGACTTGCTCATGGGAGAATTTAGTTTTCTTTACAATGCTGGATTAAATAGGAATAATTTATTGGTCTCTGCTGAAGGTGCCATCACTACATGGATAAGCACAGTTGGAGCAGACTAGAGCTAACACTGGCCACAAAGCTGCTGCCATGGTGATGACTGGAAAATAGGAGAAAATGTGGCTTAACAAAACAAATTTGGATCCCTTGCATCTGAATTTACCCATTATTCTGCCATTTCAGACCCTTGTCAGCCAAGGAATTTACAGAGTATTATAAAGCAAAGGAATGAAAACTTCATTGCATGAAATAGTCTTCCCAATTAGAAACAGAAAGCTTTAAAATCAGTCTTTGCAGATCACCAGCTCTGCTCCTGTTCTGATAACCATTTCCAAAATTCACATTAAACTTTAACCCATGGAAACCAGCCCTGGGCTGCTCAGCACTCTGGATGCAGCACTGCTTCTATTTCTTTGGTTTTTCAGTCAATTACCACAACAAGATTATTATTTTAAATTGAACTAATCCATTAAATGACTTCTCCAAAGGCTGCCCGTGAAGCTGACATTAATTATTTGCTGGGAATTGGGTAAATATTTTGATACAGTTCTTAAGAGTCACTCAGGGCACCGGACTTGGGATCCTCCCTCCCTGTGACCCAACACAAGATGCAACAATTCAACAAAACCGAAAGGCAGAACATTTCAAAACTAAGGGAAACACTTTTGTTCATGCAATTCTTAATGACCATGTAAACACCTTTATAGGATGGTGCTGCAGTCAAAAAATTAAGCAAGATTCAGACTCTAACACAGGTGGGGAGAAGGGGCAGGAATTTTTAACGCTGTTCTTCAAATTGCCTGAACCTTCCAAGTTTTAAGAAAGAGAAAAAGGGAGACAGAGGACAAAAGATAAACAAGAGGAGAAAGAAAAAATAAAAAAGGGGGATAAAACCATCAAGGTCTGTTTTTAGAAGTCCTTCATGCTCCTGTACTCGTGCAAAGTTGATTAGATGCTGACTGTGAAGGATCGATTAGAGCTGAGATGCTGCAATTACAGAAGGGGCTTTAGCAGGGACACGGGTTATTTTCTGTGGGCACTGAGCTCTCAACATCACCCTCAGGGTCACTCCTGCCTGGCCCCTGAAATGTGTCTTTTGCTTTGCAATTTCTGTCCAGTTTTGCAGTGTCACTGAGCCAGAGGATCCTCAGGGGAAGAGCAGGTTCACTGCAGCACCTCCAGGAAGATCCAAAGTGTCCTGAGGGTACCCAGGAGCCTGGTACCACATCAGGCAGGTTGGTCCTTCCTCCTCCAGCCCTCATCTCTCCATCCATGGCAGACTGTGCCTACAGAGGGTTGGATGGGGCTCTGAGCAGCCTGGTCTTGTAGAGATGTCTCTGCCCACAGCAGGGGGATGGACTGGAGGACCTTAAGGGTCCCTCCCAACCCACCCCCCTTTGAGGCTCTTCAGTCTTTCCTTACAAATCAAGGAAAGCCCGTCAGCTCTGCTTGCTCCAGAACCAGAACCGTGTCATTTCCTGGGAAGAACTTCAATCCTGACAGTGCATTTTATTTTTCTTTTAGTTGTTTGAAGAGTCTCATTTCCACCTCTGTCCTGCCTGTGAGATGAGCACCAGCTGCCACCCCAGATGTTTTGCAGGGGTGGACTTTGTGTGCTGTAGGATGGCCACTGGTCTGATTTACTGCTGGCCTACAAGAAGTGAGGAATTATTTCTCAGCAGCCCTTCCCACCTTCATCATCATCACCATCTTCTACAGCCACAGCAGAGGAGACTCTCACACAGTGTGTGTTTGCAGATCCATTGCAGTTTTGCCAGGGGTTATTTTCCCAATTGTCAGTAAGTGCCCTGCCAGGGCTCAGGATGAACTGAGATTTATCTTCCTGATTTACAACTGAGGAATAATTAAAGAGATCTAAGGCCAGAGGAACTGGGAGCAATTTTTCCTGAGAATACGCTTCGGTACTTTCAAAAATTATGCAAGATCAATTTATCTCAGAAAATATTAAATTGTAAAAAGCTTCCCCTCAATCCTGAACCTTATCCCACGTACTGAGATTGCAGATAAAACACCACAGAGGGGAAAAGTGTCTCCTCAGAAACAATATTTGCATCCTGCAGATGCAATTCTCCCAGGGAAACGGCAAATAGTGGAAGATAATTCAGTGTCAATGCATTATTTGAGCAACAAATACAAACCAACCTGACCTGAAATTGGTATTTGGCAGCCCAGGGAAGGGGTGGACTCTGCAAATGGGGTCTCTGGGGGAGCTGGGGAGAAGGCAGGGGGGTGTTGCTGCTCTTGTCTGAGTGAAGGGATTCAGTTCACCTTAAAGGTCATCTCATTCCAACCCCCTGCCAGGGCTGTGTTCTCAAAAGGACAGAATTTACAGGCATTTCTTCAAACCCTGCCCTCAGATCCAACAATACCTGCAACAATAATGGTTTCAAACTGAGAGGGCAGGGTTAGATGGGATATTGGGAAGAAATCCTTCCCTGGGAGGGTGGGGAGGCCCTGGCACAGGTTGCCCAGAGAAGCTGTGGCTGCCCCTGGATCCCTGGAAGTGTCCAAGGCCAGGTTGGACGGGGCTTGGAGCAACCTGGGCTGGTGGAAGGTGTCCCTGCCCATGGCAGGGGGTGGCACTGGATGGGCTTTAACGTCCCTTTCAACCCAAACCAGTTTGTGATTCTGTGATTCCATGAAAGTTCCACTGAAGTTTGTAACTAATAATGTATTTGCTGCTATTTTATATTCTCTGACAGGAAAAAGAGCAGAGCTAGTATTATATAAGGGCATTTTAATTCCCTATTAATATTTAAACAGACCTTATAAACCATGCATGTGGTCTGAGTAACACAAGATTTCACGTTTCATTTCGGGGGTGACAGAAATAGAACGGGACATTATTTGTGTCCACAAAATGCAAACTTCCCTAAGAAATCTGCGCTCCTTCCAAAACCTGGATGTCCAACTCCAACACCAAGGGTATCCCTTCCTCAGCACAGTTCCCCTTCCCATTCCCAGACAGTGCTTTGCTGCCTGGGGAAACAACAGTCAGCTGACGAGGGATTAATGCCAGAAAATTGCATATATAAAATAATATATAAATTTGCATACAAAAAGTATATAATATATAATAATAAAATAATATAATGATATATAATAAATAGTATATTATATATAAATATATAATACTATAAAATAATAATATACAATAATAATATACAATAAATAGTATAACATATATAGTAATATAAAATAATATAATAATATAAAATAATAATATGCCATAAATAGTATAAAATATATAATAATAAAAATAGTAGAATAATATAAAATAATAATATGTAATAAATAGTATATAATATATAAATAAATAATGATGTAAAATAATAAAATTATAAGAAATATAAAATTGCATATATAAAATAACATCTGTACTCCATGTGGTAACTCAGCACTGCCCACCAGATGTGCTCCCACACCTGAGTTTTTAAAAAATATCACATATATGGTAACCCCTGAATCTCAGAGATTTACCAAGACCCACATTTGCTCTGCCAAATCCCACTCTGGCACTTACAGGAGCCTGCACTGTTGTTCTTTGTTGGTTTTTTTTTACCAAAAAAAAAAAAGTGTTTTTAACTGTTTTTTTTTAACTAAAGGTACATTATGTGACAAAGTTCAAGATGAGATTAATCATGGAATCACAGAATGGTTTGGTGGGAAGGGACCTTAAAGATGACCCAGTGCCACCCCCTGCCATGGGCAGGGACACCTTCCACTAGCCCAGGTTGCTTCAAGCCCCGTCCAACCTGGCCTTGGACACTTCCAGGGATCCAGGGGCAGCCACAGCTTCTCTGGGCAACCTGTGCCAGGGCCTCCCCATCCTCCCAGGGAAGAGTTTGTGTTGTAAGAGCTGCTCCCAGTTGTAACCTGCTCGCTGACAGCAGGGACACGTTACGTTCAGTGACTGCTCTTTGTGAGCTGCTGTGAGAAAGAACATTTTTGTGCTGTTTTGGAAGATATTCTGGGAGAATCCTAAAGAAAAAAAAAAACAGAATAAAAAAGAAAAAAAGCTGCCACGCTTTGGTTCCCAAGAACAGACTGTTGGTATGAAAATTCAACCGCATTTGAAAAAAATAAACGAGACAAGAAAAATAAGACAAGAAGAGCCTGTTTTAGCAAAGCTGTGATTTCATGATTACCTTAAAATGTGGAATACCATGGAATGCCACTAAAAGAAAGGCAGCTTTCTGCCCAGCCCCATTTTGCCTCCACACTGATGACCTTGAGGTTATACATGAATATACCAATTTTCTGGAGGGTTCATTTTCAGTTGGATTAGTCAGCTGATCTGGTTTATCAAGTGGTTATCCCATGTGTGGAGCTGGAGCAAGGACAAGGAATTGGCAGCCCAGGATTAACTCTTTGGGCAATGGCACATTTGCACATGGGCTTTAAATCAACCCTGAAGCTACACCTGGTTTCCCTTTCCCATCATTCAAGCACAAAGATAACGAGGTTAAACGGTCTGGGGAGAAACATCCATATAAATCCATTACCTAAACCCATAATTTTCTGGAGCCATAAGCTTATAGGAGCCAATATGTGAGGATTTGATGATAAAAGGTTAAGGCAAATCTTGAATTCTACTTGAACACTACCATGATTTAACCTGGGACGTGAATTGTGTAAGCTGACACAGAAAGCTGCAAAACCTCCACCAAAAAAAAAAATACAGAAGGAAAAGGTGTTCCTGAGCCTTGCTGGATAGTCTTCTCTTCAAATAGTATTTCCCTCTAAACACATCAAGCAAGACAATAACTCTGACAGTCAATTAAACCAAGACAAGTGTATTTAAATTCACAGTGCCCAACCCACTCTGTTTGCTTTGGAAGGTGTTTGCACGGTGTCATTTAGGAGAAATTATTTTAAAGTAACCAGGCTGTGCAAGCAGAGCTTTCCAGGTTTTTCCCATCCCCTCTTTCCAGTTTGAAATGTAGGTTTTCAGCCTGAAATGCAGGTTTTCAGCCTGAAATGCAGGTTTTCAGCCCATGCTGCACCCCCGTGCTCAGGCTGTTTGTATTTCAGCATCTCTAAAATCTCATTTCTCCATCGCTTTCAGGTCTGTGACTGGCCAAAGTGGGATTAAAAAGGGAACCTAATCCAGTTATGCAACACAGCCTGGTTCACCAAGGGATGCTGATTTAACAGGCAGTATCCTGGGATATCTCTCAGTACCATCTCTGGACTTTCTGGAGCAGCATCCCTGCTGCCAGGCAGCAGGAGAATCCACAGGGACTCGGAATTCAAAGCTTGGATTTCTCCACGTGTTTATACAGACACACACACCAGAATGTTTTACCTCAGAGGAGTCACACAGCAAGAAAAAAAATATGGGGCAATAAAGGAAAGGGGAATAATTCCAGGCAAGCAGCTTTAATATTTTTAATCCCATCTCTTCTTTCTGCCCTGCTGTCACCAGCTTCAGGGGGACACTCGGCAGGCTGGGAAAAGACATCAATAAGGGAGGGCACAGCATCATTTGGGAATGTTTTAAAAAGCAGACACGAATTTAAATTAAAATAATGTTGATTTGATGCCAAGACAAAAGATTTTGTTCATCAGCGAGTCCCAGGTGCTGTGAGGTGTGAGGACACCCCTGTGCTGAGATGTTTGGGGCAAAGGCCACCACGAGAGACGGGACCCAGAGCCAACCCTGTGTAGACAGAAAGTCTCACCATTCTCTTAACTCCAAAGCTCTTAGGATCTTCAGAGAAGATCAGACACTTGATTTTATTTACAGTGAACCCTTTGAAATAGTAGAAATGGCTGTGATGCCTGGGCACTTCAAACCTGAGATATCTGCATTGGAAGGACAGCAAAGAATCTTTTCTTTTTAAACATATTCTCCAATAATTTTTCAGTTGCACAATTTTGTAAGAGAGGGACCACAAACTGCTGAAATAACCATTAAGCATCACCAGAACCACTTTTCCCCACAGGAATTTTCCATTTAGAAGCAATAAGTCAAACGAACAGACAATTTTTGTCACTCTTAACGACGACGACTCCAGAAAGGAGATTTCTCCTCGGATAAGGAGGACACAAGAAGGGCTGTGCCACGTGCTGGGTCTGGCCCTGACCTAAAAAAGGCACAAACACGGATTTCTTACCTGCTACTGAGTTTGGCCGTGGCATAAGGTAAAGAGGAATGGACTGCACCGACTGGGACAGGACGGTCTCCAGGTTCCTCTCGGGGATTTTGTTGAGGCTGTAGGTGGAGGCCGTCATGTTCTCGTCCACACGGTACAGGCACGAGTCCATGCTGGATTTCTGGGACTGCCAAGGTTTCAGGTTTCCTCCAGATCCAAGCTCTTTGCTGCTTTCCCCTCCATATTTAGTGCGTTCCACATTTTCGGAGTAACTTGTCAGAGTGGCTTGAAGGGGGGAGAGAGATGATAAACAAAGTGAGTAACAAAGCAGGAATGGCTGAGCACACGCTGCTCAATGCCAGAGCCAAGACTGAGCCCCATCAGACTTTCCACATCCACATAAATCAGAGATTATGGATTTTAGTTTAATGATACTGTTGCTGCTTACGACTTCTAAAAGAACATTTAAGCTCTAATGTTTTGGCTCATACTGTTAAAAGCCATTTGTAATTACAGAGAGTATTAAATATTCCGTGCAGCATTGTATTCAAATACACCATTCCAGAAAGAGCAGGAATTACTAAGGAAGAAACATTATCAAGGCTCCTCGTGTCTTTGAATTTGCACTGCAGTTTTCACCTTTGCAGGGAGGTGCTGGCAGGAGTTTATAACCCTGCAAGGTGTGACACTGAGAAGCCCCCACTGACCTGCCTGAACAACCAGCTCCAGGGATTAGTTTGGTTCAGAAGCTGAACCCCTTATCTCATTTGACTGATAGCAGGTTTTTATGAAGCTTTAACTGCAATCCACCCTTTGATTATTTCATTTTACGGATGAGGAGCATGGCTATATCGACTCTCACATTGGGAAGTGACAACACTATTGATCCACACCACCACCACCTTCTCCCTGGTGGTATTTTTTGTCTTCTGGATCCTGATGCAGTTTCCCAGTGGCTGTAACTCCCTTTGGGCTGCTGACTTTCATCTTTAGTCTCCCATATATTCATTCAAGGTCACAATCAGGTCTCTTAGTCACTGACAGAAGGTCCCAATGCCCACACCAACTTATCTGAGTGTGTCAGAGAATCACAGAATGGTTTGGTGGGAAGGGACCTTAAAGCCCATCCAGTTCCACCCCCTGCCATGGGCAGGGACACCTTCCACCAGCCCAGGTTGTTCCAAGCCTTGTCCAACCTGGCCTTGGACACTTCCAGGGATCCAGGGGCAGCCACAGCTTCTCTGGGCAACCTGTGCCAGCCCCACACAGTGCCCAGCTGGACTCTATCCCATGAACTTCCATGACCAAGGACTCATCTGCCTGAATTCCTCATGCTAAATGACATTATGACAGGAATTAGAATTTAAAATCACAAAATCATCATTAAAAAAGTCAAGACCTGTAATTGCTGCTCTGCCTGTTCTTTATCCATCCAACAAACTCCACACAGTTCAACCTTCACCCCTATTTCTGTGGCTTTATTTCTCACTATTGTGTTGCCTCAGTATCTTTGCATCTCACCAAATGCTCCAAAATTTAGTTGTTTGTGACATATTTTGAAATGTACAACCAACATATGCAACTGCTAAGGACTGGTATTTGTTTGTTGGCATTTAAACATAGGTTTGCTGTCAGGTAAACACATTTACAATTCAGGATAAGAAAATTAGATAAAAACAGAAAACAGATGTTCACAGACTACTCTTGCTCCCTCAAATTGCTTAAGAAATATGTGTGAAATGGTTTTCTAGAAAAATCTCCATTTCAAAGTCTGGGTCTGCAGGGCAGGCAGACTACGTTGTCTATTTACAGGGGGGAAAAAATCCATTGATCCATTAAAATCCATTAATTTTAAAAGCCTATCTCAGTATGTGTCTAATTAATCTTTGTAGAAACAAATCAGCAGCTGCCATCAGTCATCTTCCAACACATCAAATTGAGGAAAAATAAAATAACTATGTGTCAAAATAAGTTTTCTCTAAATGAAGCAACAAAAAAAGAAAAAAAAGAGCTAATAAGTCCTGCTGGCCCCTTTTCTAATTGACAATTTGTGTTCATTTGAAACGTTAATTTTCACTGGTTTACACTAAAGCTGTTTTATGTGCAAACTCGTCACTGAATCAGGTATTTAGGATTGTTCCCTGTGGATTAATTTACCTGCTGAACAGCCCTGGATGATCTAAGTGCTGCTACACAGGCTGAAGTGATGGTTCTGCGCATTTAATCTCTTCCAGGAGCTTTTTTAAACCGAAATAATTTTGATTTTAGTTAAAAGGCAAAGGCAGCAGGTTAGTTCTGAGTTTGCAACGTGAGCTGACAGGCCGAGCACATCTCAGGGGGATAAAGCTATTCCACAGGGTGACCCCAGAGCTGCTCAGGCATCACCCCTTCAGAATGAAAAACTGAGAAAGCAACAGCTAATTTGAGAAAATTCACATTATCTGCCACTACTGGGGTTGATGCAGTTTGATGTTCAGCAGGGAAAAGCTGGGAATGCCAAACTGGCAAATACAATGGAAGTGCAAAGATTTGGGCAGCCCTGAAAGGGTCAGGGAGTTGGACATATCACTGTAGGTTCCTTTCCACTGAAAATATTTTATTCTTATTCTATTCCACTCCACTCCAGTCCAGTCCAGTCCAATGGGATGAGAGGAAATGGCCTCAAGTTGCACCAGGGAAGGTTTAGGTTGGATATCAGGGTGGTCAAGCCCTGGAACAGACTGCCCAGGGAATTAGTGGAGGCACCACCCCTGGAAAGTGTTCAAAATGTGTGGATGTGGCACCTGGGGACAGTGCAGGAGGGTTGGAATTAGCTGGTCTTTAAAGGTCCCTTCCAACTCAAACCACCGATAATTCTATGACTTTCAAACCCAAGGACACGTCATCAGCCAAAAGCTCAAAAAAATGCAACCTTTGACAGACACTGTGCTCTGAAGTGGGAAAAGATAAACTGATGACCTCCAATCCATCAAAGAGCAGGAATTTTTGCCTTGAGCCACCTGCTGAGAGGCAGATCCTTCAACCCCAATGTGCACCAACAGCTGAGGTTCTCCACAGCACCCAAGTAACAGCACAGGGATATAAATACAGACGTGTGTGCATAAATATCTGTATTTATAGACAGGGAGATGTGTCTCCAGTCTCTGCTGGTGCAGTCTCACACTGTGCAGTGTGAAAATAGACAGAATTTGAAGCATCTAAACCATCTGAGTGCTGTAAAACACATTAATGGATGATCCCATGGGAAGCCCCTTGGCTGAGAGGGCACAGGCAGAGTGGTGCCCTCTGCAATCCTGTCCTCAGCTCTCAGAGAATCACAGGATGTGCTGAGTTGGAAGGGACCCACAAGGATCATCCAGTCCAACTCCTGGCCCTGCACAGGCCCATCCCCAAGAGTCACACCCTGTGCCCCAGAGGATCATCCAAACCCTCCTGGAGCTCTGGCAGCCTTGGGGCTGTGCCCACTGCCCTGGGGAGCCTGGTCAGTGCCAACCACCCTCTGGGGAAGAACCTTTTCCTGAGATCCAACTTGACCCTGCCCTGACACAGCTCCAGCCCTTCCCTGGGTGCTGTCCCTGGTCCCCCCAGAGCAGAGCTCAGTCCCTGCCCCTCCTCTGCCCCTGCCCAGGAACTGGAACTGCAGTGAGGTCTCCCCTCAGTCTCCTCCAGCTGAACACACCAAGTGCCCTCAGTGTCCTCACACGGTTTCAAATCAAGGCCCTTCCCCATCTTCGTTGTCCCAGGATTTGCTGCATCTCAGGTCCCCAAGATCCCAACCCACCCTCTGCACAAGCACCACCTGCACCAGCTCCGGGGGGCACATTTGAAGCCACTTGGGACCAAGATGCCAGGAGGGAATACACTCCAGAGATCCTGGAGTCATTTCCCACCTTGCTTTGAGCACTCAAGATTCACTCCTGCATTTCCTTGGCAGAGGACTTATCTGTGTCAAACTTTCCTCTCCCAGCTCGTCTCGTTTCCCTCGGTGAAACATTTTGATTGGAACTTTTTGCAAATAACGTGGGTAAAATATTTTTATTTCTTTGGGGAAATACCAGAGCTGAACAGAAGCAGCAGCAGCCCCCCAAGACAGCACCTCAGTCACTGCAGACAGCACCACACTGCTCGGAGACTTTCATGTATTTACAGGCCACAGATATTATTTCTCATTTAGTTGCAAGCTGGCCTAAGCCCTGGGGCAGGAGCCTTTCAACTGAACTTGTCTCCAGTCAAACACATGAGGGGATTTTTACCATCCCATCCAATTCTCCTTGAGGCAAAGACCATGCCTGGAAAACATCAACCTTTACCTTCCCTTTCCAGCTGGAACTGCAGGAGAAGAGTTTTCTGTGGGTCCCACCTGACGATGACCAACAACTCAAACATTAATTATATTTAAAGATCTACAGTGTCTCGAGTAGGAAACAGGGATTTTGTTGCTTCAAAGAAGTAACTGCAAGCAAAGCAACGAGCTTCAATATTCTGCCTTGCAAAGAGCTCCAAGCCCAGGCTGAATTAACCTCATTTCCCTCGTCTCCAGCACCACTTCCCTCATCACGTCAGAGACGTCCCAGCCAACATGTGCGAGTTGGCAAGGAGTGAAATAAATTTTTTACCCTAATCTACATAAGCCCTTCATAAACTCAGCCATGGAGGGATACACCTAAATATAGCCACGTCGGCCCAGACAAATTTGGCAGGCGGGAAGCATCAGAATCCAAACCTCTCCCAAGGGAAGGAGGTCACACACACAGCCCGTGCCCCAACAACCCTGGAGTGCCTTTAGAACATCAGTCTCTGCTGGACACCACCAGCCAGAGGGTTTAAGGCATATCCATGCAAAAAAAAAAAACCAAAAAATGCTGAAGTCTGCCCTACTCCAGGCTCGAGGTCAAAATCCACACGGCTCGTTGGGTGTTTGATTTCTCTTTCGACGCAAATCTCAAATAAGAGAGAAAAAAATCCAAATTAAAATCACTGGTTTAATTCATATAAATCACTGGTTTAATTCATATAAACAATCCTGTAAACAGACAGAGATTAAACAGGTGAAGCTGTTTCTGTGCCAAGCCTGGAGGTTTTATAAATCAAGGCGAGCACACAAAAGGTCTTGAAACATAACTGAAAAACACACTGACAGCAGCACCACGCTGACCCTAAATCAGTTCTGTTCTAAATCTGAGTCCCCTGCTGCACTGGCTGCCAAGTGGGATGAGGAATGGGATGAGGAATAGGATGAGGAACGGGATGAAGAATGGGATAAAGAATGGGATGAGGAATGGGAC